TTGCCCCCTAAACTTGTACCTTACTTTCAATTAATCTCCTATCCTTTTTTTTAGAAAATTAAGGATATGAACTTTTTTTTCGCCAATTTCCCCCCTGCGGTCTAAATCCGCAACATTTCATCCAATTTTCAATTAAATTATTTTTTTGGAAAAATATTGAAGAAAAACAGGAAAATAGACCAAAAAATAACGAAGAAGGAAAATACACTAAAGAAAAAAAATCCTAGTGCAGTGAAAAGAAGAAGATGGAGACAGAGGGAAGAGAAAAGAAGAAGAAGAAGAAGAAGAAGAAGAAGGAAAAGAGAGAGAGAGAGAGAGATTTCAGTTTTTATTTTATGACTATTATTTCAATTTTCTATTATTTATTTATTTGTAACGTACAAAATGACTATTTTACTCTCATATTTAACGGCAAATTGGATGAATGAAATATTGCGGATTTAGACGGCGGGGGTAAATTGGTGAAAAAAAGAAGTTCATATCCTTAATTTTCTAAAAAAAAAGGATAGGGGGTTTATTAAAAATAAGGTATAAGTTCAGGGGGCAAATCACTAGCATACCCTAATAAATAACTATAATTCCGGGTTAAAACGGGTCTTGTCATTTGGCAGAAGACCCAACCGAACCAAACTGTAATTTCAGGGACGATTTGGAGAAGTAGAGAAGAGAAGGGAGATGAAGAAGAGGACACTGTACGCTTGGGGGGTAGCCATTCTCTGTTTTGTGGTGTTGATGATCGTCACTCCTGCCATCCCTCAGTCTGAAGCTTACCACGATTTCGCTGACCAGCGCGAGTTTTTGGGTCAAATCTCTCTCTCTCTCTGTATTTATGTGTATATATACATACATATCAGTATGTATGTGTCTGTTTGTTTGTATGAGTCGTTTTATACATATATTGAGAACTTGGGCTAAACTTTAGTGATTGCATAGTAGTTCGTGCGGAAATTGAAAACCATATATTGCTTTCTGCCCCTTTCCTTAGGTTATTGTGGAGCCATCAAAACTCAGGTTGGGTGTGAACTTTTGTTGGAAGTATACGGGCTTGTGATTAAGGACTGGAATAAGTGAAATATATATTTGGTTAGCAAATTGCAGTTGTTTCTAAATATATGATAATGGGAAAAATAGAGTTTGCAATTCCTGTTTATGTCATCATGCTTAACATAGTTAGAATTTGTGTTTAACGAGCTCACATTGCAAGGTTGTGCTAAGCCAAGCTGTGAATATTGGCTCTTGACTTTTAGGATTAATCATAACCTATGTAAGCAAAGATATGAACCAGTTTTGGGGGCAGAACAGCCTTTCGTGAGTGATGACATAAAATTAGGCTTCATTTCTAATATTGCTTTTCCCCATTTTAGGTTTCTACTGATTTTTCAAGTTGATGTAATAAGGATTTAGTAAAAGCTCAGAGTCAAACTAAAATATTGATTATTCTTCAAACCTCAAATTTGATAGTTATTTCTAACAGAGTTTTGTCAAGTGTAAGGTATGTTGGGTTGTCTTGTAATTTAGTGGCTCTTGTGGGAAAGAATAATTTTAGTATAACTTATTATCAACCATGGTTCAGGTTATGAACTTAGGACTCTCTGGTTATGGTTGTGATTCACTTGGATATTGGCCAAACATACTCCTTTAACTTATTCTGGGATTTGTTAGGTTTTTGGTTGCATTCATTATTTAATGCTTTTTACCTTTTTACTCCATTTTATTAACATGGCATCTTCATTTTATTTCCAGGTATTCCTAATACACTTAATGTGGTTTCAAATTTCCCTTTCCTTGTTATTGGTCTCATTGGTCTTGTCCTTTGCTACTATGGGGATTATTTTAAGTTCAGGTACTGTGGGTCTTTACTTCATGTGCAATGCCTAGAATGGATTAAAAGCTTTTTGTACAGTCAGTGATTATTTTCAATATTTTAATAAAAGCTTGCAAGGAGAGCTTTGGGGTTGGACATGTTTTTACATCGGTGTGGCTGCTGTTGCAATCGGATCCGCATACTATCATCTGAAGCCAAATGACGCTCGTCTTGTGTGGGATCGGTTGCCAGTGAGTTTGATCTTGCAACAAAAGTCATTTGTTATATAGAATGTCAACTACTATTAAGATGCCATATTTTACATTAATTGACATTTATTTTTGTCTTATGACAACTACAGATGACAATTGCGTTCACATCGATCATTGCAATCTTTATCATTGAAAGGATTGATGAGTGGAAGGGAACAATTTCCATCATACCTCTGCTTTTGGCGGGTATTATCAGCATATTGTATTGGAGGCAAGCACTATATTTTATTCCTTTTCATGATAATAATAACTTTTTCGCAAGCTCTATTTTGTACTGTTGAGAACCTGGGTTTCCTTCTTTGTAGGTAATGAAGTATATTTACTAGAGTGTGACTAGTTTTCTGTACGAAAATGAGTTTGGATTTTGCATGCCCTTTTACTGGCATGCAGTGAAATTGGGATTTTAGAGTTTGGGAGCAAATAGGTTTTTTGTAAATCCATGATGGGGTTCGGAGCAGTCTCAAATGCATATCCTTATTACCTTTTAATCCCTTGCTACAATTGTTTTTTTTTTTGGAACTTAACTGTAAACATATATTCAGGAGACTGCTTTTGCATAATCAAACCGAGTTTCTTGTTTTCTGTAAACTTCATTTCCTGTAAAAAATAATTTATGTAATTTCCTTGTACAGGTTCTTTGATGACCTCCGTCCATATGCTCTGGTCCAGTTTCTTCCTTGCATTGCCATTCCTCTGATGGCTATATTGTTGCCTCCAATGTACACTCATTCCACGTATTGGCTTTGGGCAGCAGGTTTGCGTTTTTAGTAACATGGGTTACTTTGTTGTTTCCTGAAACCTTGTATTTTCACTATATTGGTTATGAACTTTTCATGTTATTGCAGGATTCTATCTTTTAGCTAAGGTGGAAGAAGCTGCTGATAAAGTGATCTACGATTGGACACATCATATTGTCAGTGGGCACACCCTCAAGCATTTGTGCGCTGCAATGGTTCCTGTATTCTTGACGCTTATGCTTGCAAAGAGGACTGTTGAACCAGAGAGGTGTTTATTATATTCCCTACACTATTACATAACTCTTTGGTGCATGTAGAGATATATGGGATGTCTTAAAAATAGGCATCATGATGAAATTTGAACTTTCCAATATTTGTTTAGCTTGGATGCATAGTATACGTATACTTACATGTGCACATTAAATTTGCAGAAGTTAACCAAACTCATATTTTGCTAGCTCCTCTGCTAAGTTGCCTCTGTTTTTTCTTTTTTCTTTTTTTGGTGAGAACTGACTGTATCATGCTTAGATGCTTTGGACTAACTGTTTTTTTTTTCTTTCGTGCCATCCACTTGTTAGTGGTGCATTTGACATGATGCCATTTATGGTTTTGTATTTATGGAATTGAACACCTCCATGGGATATGTTGAATTTCATGAAAATTGTTAGTGCCTCAATTGTGAGTAAAATCTATAGTAAATATGCTTTTCTGCTAGATTGATCTGATTTATTTGGTAGAATCAGACAAAACTGCATAGTATGTTGCTATATGTTTTCTGAAGGTGCAAATTGTTTTTCTGAATATCATTATTCCCTGGAGTGATTCTACTTGAACCTGAAAAGGAAATGTTCCATTTATTTATTTTTTCCTCAGTAAGATTCTAATTCTTCTTTTACCCTGAAAGTTAAAACAACAAATATGAAAAAGGGAAATTCCTCCATCCCTTCCCCTCCGCCCTTCTTGACCTAGGCGCCTCGGCATTGGTTGGCTGTTTTTCATTTCTTTTCTCTTTTTCTAATTTTTAGTTGATAAGAGAGTCAATTGGGGGATAAAATAGAATCATACTCTGGTTACTCGTTTGACCCTGTTATAAAAGCACCCTTATTTGCAGTACTCTAACATGACTCTCTCTCTCTCTCTCTCTCTCTCTCTCACACATAATGCAGGCAGAGTTTGCTCAGGACATGGAAGATTTCCTGGACCAAATTTAGAAAGACTGATGGCACAGTAGAGAGCGATGGCACAGTAGAGAGTTACACTTGTACCTACTCAACAGTTCCAGTTGTGGAATCACAATAATCTGGCTTATAGTTTTCTATTTCAGAAGATAGAAGAGAACTTTTCACATGTATTTGAACAGATGACAAGAAACGAAACAGGAAAAAAAAAAAAAAGTCACACACTTAGTTGTTGGCATTGGCTGCACATGCAAATGATAATTGTAATTTTGCTTCAAAGTTACACCAAGTACAGACACATCTCCATATTGTATATAAAGACTTTCATACGAGCATATTATATTGGTTTTTTGTTCTTTAACTATGGGCTTCATATTCTGTTTCTTCCTGGTTTTTCTGGAATTTTAGAGAACTTCCAACTCATACATGACCACCATACTAACCGAGTCTTGCTGACTTGCAAATATGAAAAATTAACTGTGACATTTGCAACCCTAGTTTGCCCTTCACTTTTAATTATAAATATTTTAAATACAGATATTATTACATGGAAGAGATTTTAAATTGGTAATGTTTGTTTATAAATATAAAGATATCCAAAACACACACAAATTTGAACAGCCTTCTTTACTATTGTCTTAATCAGGTTTAAACTTTGAAGCCCAAAGACTATCCTAAAGCAACCCTACGGAAGCTTTAAAACAAAGTGGGGCATAATCATGCAACGATTAAAATAGATAAATTTGCCCCTCAACAAAAATAGCTAAATAAGTTGATAAATTGGTGTAAAACAATTACCTTAAGAACAAGCTCAAGCATAGTACATCATAGCTTTGATTTGATCACAGTTCAAACAAGCTAGCTTGAAAAGCATACATGAACTATGAAACAACAAATAAACAAACAGCAACCTACACTACATGAACAAACTGTTTAACAGATGTAAGTGCTTCTTCGTCCTCCTAAATAATTACACCCATTGTGAATTCTCTGAAAATATACATGCAACTCAAAATCTATGAGGTTAACGACATGGCACCTTAATTTGTTCCCGCTCTTTTTTTTGGAGATACAATCAGTAGTCATATGAAAGAATTTATAATTCTTATCCCACCAATTAACTCTAGATTTTTGGCCAAGCAGGAAGAGCGGGATATAAGTGCCTAGCCCTGCAGTCAAACCGGCAAACAAAATCCCTGCTCCACGAACTATTGGCTCTCTCCATCGGGCATTGGCAGCAGGAACCTAATTGAGTTTTGATATTGGTAGAACTGCAAGCATTCAAGGTGCAAAACATAAAGTAAAACATAAAATTGTACTAATCACATAAAAGGGCAGCGCTACACAGAGTTCAGGTTCAGTTTACACTTAATATTCCTTGCTTGTTCACAATAGAGGGAAATGTTAACTTAATAACAGAAAAGAAAGTGAAATAGATAAACATAGCTAAATGTAAGAGAGTTCCCCGTTGGCTGATATCTTGATATTCCTTAAAATTCTATAATGAACCTAATAGAAAATAAATATTTCAATTTGTTCCACCAATATAATTCAGTAGTTCTAAAGGAAACAATGTTTCCTATGGGAAGGTACCTCTTTCATGATCTCCTCACATTTACGTGCTAATTGTTTCTGATGAGATGCTCCAGATTCTTTTATTGATGTAGTCTTTGCTGTGATAGAATCCACCTATCATTTGCAAAGCTAAACTATCAGTTTGTACTTCAGACTGACAGAGATTGGTATGCTCATTATAATCTAATTGCATAAAGTACCTCTGCTACTGCAGCTTCGACATCCTTTTGCCTTGCTTCCATATCACGCCTCCTAGATTCCACCTCCAGCTTCACATTATTAAGTTCTTTAGAAGCCTCCTCAAACTTTAGATCTCTCTCTTTTTCTAGCTGCTTTTTTAATTCATTTAACTGTTCCACTGGAGAAAAAGAAAAGGAGCTCTAAACTTTGTAGCACAACTAGCCATTTACATTAAGCCCTGTCTACATGTTTAAAAAGGAAAGTAACTCAATATAGATTGAAATAGGTTCCATTTGGATGGAAGGATTTAAAGTGAGGGTTTAAAATTTGAGTTCATGGTGCAAATTGCTTAACTAGAGTTTAATAATGCTACTTTCTTTTGTTAATAAAATCAACAAATTAATTTGTTTATTTGAAAAAAAACGAGGGACTTGAATTAACACTTTTCTCTTAAGTATTTTATATCCCCAAACTTTTGAAACAATCAAACTTAATTGTGGATGTTATTAACATAAAATTTTGATATTTCTGCAGTTCAATTAAGCAATTTACTTAAAGATTCAGACCAAAATCCTTCCTTCTAAATCCTTCCATCCAAATCGACCCTAAGAAGCTACCTTTTCCTTCCCGTTCAACCAGTTTGGCCTGAAGAGACCTGCTTAGGACTCCATCATCAGCTAATTTAGCTTTCACAGCCTTAAAATCTCTGTCGACAGATTTAGCAGAATTGACCTAATAATTAAAAAGTGGCAACGTTATGAAACAAGACGTTTCAAGTAAAGAACACTTGACTGCACCAATAAGAATGCCAACAGTCAAAATCTTTTATCTTAAATAAGTAAATTTATACCATCGCATGCATAGAAGACAGTATAAAATAAATCTGAACACAACAAGGACCTCACACTACGAAGATCATTCAAGCATACAAGATTATGGTATATACATACCTGTTCTTGTATAGCCTGCATCTGGGCCAAGTGCTTTGACAATTTCTTTGAGACCTGAGAACAAGCACAGAAACAAATGACCAATAAAAATTTACAATGTTGTATAAACTGCGTAATTCTTTCATGGATAGATGCATATTGTTGTCTGATATATTTATAGCATGTGCAGGCACATACACACATCAGTAAAATATGAATGGCTGTTACTATATGATTTTCGAGTTTTATATTACTTCCATCAACTTACTAAATGGTTAAATTGCATCTTATTTATCATCTGTTTTTTGAAAATTGTACAAGGACTTGCACCAAATATAGGTCAAGACTTATGTGAGGGACAGTGGCTTTTTTATTTTTTCCTACAATAAGATGGATTAGGGTGTTAAATTATTGGAGCTATTAATCATCATGTAATGTAGGTTTACCCTTTATTTCGTAAATACTTTTTTTCTTTCACTTCGTTGCTTTAATCTTTTAAAGTTAATAGTCATTTATAACCAAATATTGTTTAAAACCTAAGACTGTTAAAAGATTGTGACATTTCTGGAATGCAAGCCTTCATAGCATTTTCTAAACTGGTTTGAAGATCAAAAAAATAAAAGAATAGCATCTAGAAAGGAAAGAAAAATTAAAGTTTGAATTTCATAATAGATTACCTTTGTATAAACCTCATCAACATCAGTTTTCTCCTTAAAAGATTGCATTGCTGACCTTTCAAAATTCTTTGCCTCCTCTCGAACAGATTTCTTCTCTTCTAAAGCCCTCTTCAAGTAAAAATCTGGTCAGCAATTAATGAAAGAAAAATAAAGAAACACTGAACCCAATCAACATAACTAAAAATGAATGGAGTTACTGTTATTTAGTAAGATACAAAAACGAGTAGTTAAGAGCCCTTATTTGGAAAACCCATACTATGAGATCAAGGATCATTTGTGAATAGGCTACAATGAAAACTTGAGAAAAAGTTCATGCGAGAATGGTAAGGAAAAGGGCAATAGGGGTTATAAGGAAAGGGAGTGTGGAATGGGTATGGTGCATATTTACAGTAATCCAATGTCACTAATAGGGAGTAAAACCAAATCTGTGTGGATAAAACTTAATAAATTCAATCTCGTATACCATGCATCTTCTGCATATCCAACTTGTATCCATAAGTGTAACTCTTCCATTCTTTTTTGTTTTCAAAAGGAGATGGAGGGAATCATCATATTCGTTATAGCATTTTCATGTTCTATTCTCATAATGGAACTGCTGAGGGCTAGTTTACTCCAACTATGAGTATTCATTAAGGAGATCTGTTGTCACCATGCATCTTTATTTCATGTATGGAACCTTTAATCCGTTGGTGAAATTTGCTAGCCTCAGATTGAATTAATAATATCGAATTTTTTTTCCCTCCTTGATGTTTTAGATTTACCAATTTATTATTTCTGGTCTTTTTAAAAGATTAATGACTCAGTTCATGAAATGCACGACCATATTAAATTGTTGCTTAACTACAGAAAAATAAAACTAGAAAAACTTCATGAGCCTGTTAACACTTGGAGTGGGGATGCAATCAACAGTAATGTAGCAGTTCTGTTTGGTAAATTGCCATTTACCAAATACAACTTAAACAGAAACGATACCTGCAGTTTATCTGGTGATTGAACAATTCTTGAACGTAAATTTGCACTTTCTTGGACACTTTGTACCAGAGCAAACTCAGCGCTAGAAATCTGGAGCAATGGAATAAAACAGAAGAATAATTGAAAATATAAATATTTAAATAGACAATCTGCATGATGACCTCAAAATAAAAGTTTAACACAGCACATCAACGTACACAGTTGTCTAAATAGATCATCTGCATACTCACAAATAAATAATAATGTAGAGTCTTACATTCAATGGGGAAAATGGAAAATAGGAAGAATTGAGAGTAAAATGTAACTATTAAATGGAAGTTTTAAAACATTTCTCTTTTATCTGTCTTCAATACAAACATTTTAGAAGGACTGAATTTGTTGGCCCCTCTGCTCTCCTTCCTACTAACATAAGGTTAGAGTTTTGGGGAGCATGGGCGCGCACATGCACATACACACACAGACACGACACCTCTTTGCAAGATAAACTGCAGTTAAAATATACAAGAAACACAACCAAGTATAGACAGACAAAGGGCTCAATCAAGCATAAAAACTCCAGAGTAACCAAAACCAGAGTGGAAGTAGATGCAATAGATCATCGAATTACATTTGGTGGTTGATATTATGAATCAAAAAGACCTGAGTAATTTCATTTTAATCTTACATTCTATTGCTCTTTTAATGCCTCTGTCTCTGAATTTTCAAAACAAAATCACTCACCTTCCTAAAATTGTACGTCATCAATTTTTCTAACCATTCAACACTACCAATTACTTAAATCTCCAGCAATTACAACAGCTTTCCAAGCAGGGTTTAGAATTATTAGTGTATTTTTATGTTAAGTACTTAAAGAATATACCAGTTTTCCTAGCAGTCAATAATCTAACCTTTTCCTCCATTTCTCCAGTCTTCTCCTTCAACTTTCGAAGAGAAGTTCTCAGTGACATTTGCTGATTGTTGAGGCCTGCAATTGTTTGGCGCAATTCTTTTACTTTTGCATCTACCTCTTGAACAAGAGGTAACTCCTTTTCTCTTGCTTCATTGTAGTCCGCAATCTCTGCATTCAACTACGACACGACACAAATATCTAGTGAAATTGATGCACGTTCACAATGAAAGACACCTATTTTCATATTAAAGTTACCTGGGAAATCCTGTCCTCCCACCTGTTGCGTTGCTCATCAATATCAGTTACTTGATCGACAACTTTGGTAAGGATATTCATTTTTGTCTCTCTGATAATCAAAAAATACAGCTAACATGTGTAAGAAGCAATAGTTAAGATAAAATTCTTTAAACTAGAAACCGTAATTTTTTATGTGTAATATGTGTTCTATTTTCTTCGAAGTTAAAAATGGGAATAACTATTGCTTAGGAAAGGAATGATTGGGACAGGAATTTTCTCTTTTTATTATTTTATTTCTGATCACTTATTAGAACCCTGTACTTTTGGTTTACCATTAACCAATTAAGTACCATAGCTCTCATGAGAAAATCAGGTGACACAAATTAATACAAGTTCTTCCTCCAGGTTTCCTTACAAAGCAATATTGACAAATTCAACCCTCCAAACGTGCATCATATACATTCCAAGCACACTTGGAGATCTCATACAAGAATTTAACTCAATAATATAAACAAATTTAAATGAAAAGTGGAGGAACTGTTATTGGCACTCCAATCATGCACTACTCTCTTGTAAACCGTAAGGGAGGAGTGCAAACTGACCTTTCTTGGAGTACCTATAACAGCTTCCAAAATATTATACTTTAAAAGACTAAATAAGTGCACAAATCTTACCTGTGAAGACAAAAATTGAGAATTGCACTGAGAAAATATTCAGTTCGATCCGTCTCTGGTCTTATCAGATCTTTTAGGGTGAATCTCTTAGGGCAATCTACTAAGGCCACCACTTCCTTCATCCTGTTGTACAGCTTCATGCTCCGAGCCGAGTCAACATGAAGATCCGGGTTCTCAAGTTGCTCCAAGGCTGCAAACTCAACTTGCTCATAATCTTCCCTGCATAAAGAAGAAACCCCAGGAAGGTTTGAAGCTAAGATTCTATTACGAACATTGGTACTAGTCCCAAATTAGAGAAACAATTATAATAGTAAGGAGCTTCAATTTCTCTTCTCTTCCTACCAAAACCAACCTCTAATTAACTGCTGATAAAACTCGAGAAAATGAAAGAACATAAAATTTAACTTAAACAAAAATTGATGTATTGGAAAAAGTTCATGGTAGAAATTTATGCTCTGTGACAAAGAGCAGACAAGACAACTAAGAAACTTCCGTTCCCCTTCTTAGTGACTATTGAACGCAGTAATTCCAAATTCTCTCTATTCATTTTCTTAGAAACCAAGCACGGCACTGGGCTGTTATTCCCTCCATTCCATTAAGGAGAAAAATTGTTTGTTCAACTCACTTCCCTTCACCCAACATCCGATCTCACTACCATCAAATAATAAAAGCTCAGAAAATCTTCAAAAACCCAAACATGGATATCCATCTCTCTCTTTTTCCTTTTTTTTCTTCAGGAACCAAACAGAGCATCTGGGTCCAAGTCCATCTCTTTAAAACAATAAAAAAAAAATTACTAGAAATTAGAACCCAAAAAAGTGAGAAAACATAAAAAGGAGAAAAATCAGGGCTTTGTTTTCCAGTGAAGTATGCAAATTTATGGAGAGGAAAGAAAGGGAGAATTAGGTTTCTCAGGAGAGGAACGTACTCGTGGAGGAAGTCGATATGGCTGAGGATCCGGGCGCAGAGGTCGGCGACGAAATCAGGGTTTGGGTTGACAAGATCGCGGTCAGAAATGGCGACGATCTGAGCGTCGGCGAGGATTGTGACTATGTCGCTGCGACTGAGCTTCGGGAATTCGAACTTGGACATTTCTCTTCCTCCTTCTCCTCCTCGTCCTCCTTCTCTTTCAGTCGTTTGCGATAATTGAGAAGAAAAAAAAAGGAAAAGAATGTTTTCCCGCTCCTTCGAAAATTGAAATCCTCTGGCCCCGTTTAGTTCACCATTTAGGATGTATTCAATTTAAATTTTAAATGATTTTTTTTTTTTTTGTTCTGAACCCCGATGTGGTCTTGGATGGGCCCCAATTATGGGTGGCACCTTTAAGTCTTAACCACAATCCAGACTAATCCCCGCTTACACCGGGTCGGCCCGTAAGGGGTAAAGTGTTGGCCAAAGTGGTGACTCCATACGATAGTGGAGATTGAACCCCTGACCTCTCTTAAGGAATGAGAGTGTCGAACCACTCACACCAACTACCTTGGTTAATTTTAAATGATTTTAAAACAGTTATAAAGTTGATGAAGTTTAATTAAATTTAATTGAGTTTAACTGAATTCTACAAACTCCACATAATTTTTGACTGAAATTGTGTATAGATTTTGACTAAAATTGTATGTAGATTTTAACTGAGTTTGTTAGAGTTTTATCATTGATTTTAATGGAGTTTATGGCATTCAAAAAATAAAGGATTTAGGGGTGATGACAGTGATGGTGATGTCGATGGTGGTGGAGATGTGAGAAAGGTAGTAGTGGCGGCGGTGAAAGTGAGGTGGTGGATGTGGTGGTGGCAGTGATTGTGATGGAGCTAGCGGTGGTGGTGTGGTGACGGTAGGGGTGATGGTGGGAGTGGTAGTGGGGGTTGCGATGGCTATGAGGGTGGTGGTGAAGGTGGCGATGCTGGTGCTGGTGCTGGTGCTAGGTGTGGTGGCGGCGATGATAGCCATGATAAGATGGTGGTAGTAGAAGTAGTGAATATCTTGAGAATAAAAATAATATATCTCTCAAAATCTCTTAGATGAAGCAAAAATTTGTCATGGCATAAAATTAGTCTATATTCAAATGAAATCCACCACTTTTTGTATTTTCTTTAAAATCAATGAGTTTTTTAGTACACCCAAACTTTTATGAAGTCTTTTAAAGTCGTGATTGAATACATCCAAATTTGAATAGAGGTAAAAAAATCTGAATTGAATACATCTAGAATTGTATAGATTTCTATAAAATCGTGATTGAATGCACCTGAATTTTTAAACTTCTTTAAAATCTTTTAAAATCTCAATTGAATATGCAAAAGATTTGATAGGAAATTCTCATGTCTTTTCCCAAGGGACCTGAAATGGAAGATTTTTTTTTCCCATATTTGATAATTCTAATGAAGTAACCAAGAATTGCCACTTTATTTATTTTCCCATATTTGATTTGTGCAGGAATGTAAAACAAAATTTATTTAATTTTCCAGTTATATCCATATGAAATCAAATAAAAAAGTATAGTGCAATTCTAAATATAGATACCAATATAATAAACTTACCAATTATACCCATATTAAGACGTGACACCTGTCCCATAGTTAACCTTAGTTAAGTTTTATGTGAGAATTTAAAAAAATAAATTGAAAAAGGGCCTACAGCCCAGCACTTCTATCCCCCTTTCTTTTCTTTCCGTTTTACCCTCTCCTCCTTCCCTTCTCTCTTCTCTCTCCTCTCGCCGGCACTCTCTCCCTCACTTTGTTTCTTGTTCAGCCCTTTCAATGTCCACAACTAAGTTGTGGCAAATCTAAGACTGGGTATGCAAAATGGCGTGGCTTGAGCATGGGATTGAAGAGAAAATTAAGCAAACACAGAGTCTACCTTGATACCTATGACATGAACTTCACCTTGGGTATCTCTGTGCCAGGATTTTGAACACTTGTCCGTCCATTTGGGGTGGTCCTGAGGCACTTTTGGATTGATTTATACCACACAAGCCATGTTTGAGCTTGTAAGCTGAAAGGTGCTTGCAGGGTTTGGGTTTGTATATGAAGGTTTTCTAGTCGACATCGTTGACAGAGATTGAGAAAGGAAGCTCTGATTTGTTACAAATAAAAAATAAAAACTTTATTAACAAAAATGGCAATAATAATAATAATAATAGATTAATGATAAATAATAAGATTGGCAAAGCAAGATCCAATATTCCAGTAAAGAAAGAGATGGAAGGATTTGTTTCGGTGGATGGTTACGGTGTGAGAGAGGGAGAAGAGAAATACAGAGAGAGGAGAGAGAGAAGGGTCCCGTGTGGAGAGGAAAGTGTTGGGATGTGGGCCCCTTTTTAATTCCTCATACAAAACTTAACTGTAGTTCACAATAAGACATGTGTCATATTTTAAGGATGATGGTGAGTATACGCCTTTTGTTAATATAGCGAGTAAAAATGCTCCAATCATTAGTCAGCTACAACAATATATTAGTGTAAATAAATATATAATGTGGGGCCTCCTTTAAAGTGGGGCCCTATACAGTTCCACCACCCAAAAGAGGAAATTGCCAATTCAAGAGAACCTCAACCTTAACAGCCTTCGAGACTCATTGGTAAGAAGTCTCCATATGAAACCCCAACGCCATTGATCCGCACAATCCTCTAGAATAAGAGTGGAGTGAGGAGGAGATTTCACGGAAAAGATGATCCACACAATCTTTATTTTATTTTATTTTATTATTGAGAAATAAACTTTTATTTAAATCAATAAAAAATTGATACATCACATAAAAGAGGATCAACATGCATGCTTACAGTGAAATAAACTTTTATTTAAATCAGTAAAATAAAATAAACTTTTATTTTAAAATCTTGCAGTGATCAACATGCATGGATCTACTTGGATAATGATTGATCAGATCTTTCTAATCCTTGAGCTGAGAAGATTCTGCAACTCTGGAGTTATATTAAGGGCTATCTGTAGCATCTCCGGTGATAATGCCCCCAATGCTGATGTCTTGCCAGCTAAGTCTTCTAGCACAGGCCTGCAAAAATAATGACAAATTATTATTCCTAAATAAAACAAAACAAATAACAATTATATTGTCTTGCAAAAATGAAGTATTTTATATGATCATCTTCTGCTTACTGGGAACTTGTGATGACAGAGAAACACTCCAATCCATTTCCCCCTGCAAGTTTAGCCACCATGAAGAAGCTTGGAACCACAAGCAAATCACCAGATTTGACTTCTGTATCCAAGACCAGTTGACCATTGAGACCCACAATTTGAATCTGCCCACTCCCTCCAGCAACATAAACTACTTGAACTGTAGCATCAGTTGTGTAAATTGGGGAGCTGATTGCATTGGCTTCAAGCTTTGTCAGGCTTGCACTTAAACCTGCCTGTTTGAGAAATGGAAACTCCTTCTCAGTCAATGTTGTTGTTTTACAAGTGATGTTGTGGACAAGTTTGCGGGTGGAGTTTTCACTGGGTTTGGGCATTTTGGTCTTTTCATCTTCACCCAGCTTGATGATCAAAACCCCAGTCTGGCTTTTGGTGATTTTGTCTGCTTCATCTTTGGTAATGTTGTAGGCCTTGCTCACAAACTCAGTTGAGAAGCCTCCAAGCAAACTTAAGGTTCCAGCTACAAAGAAATAGGTTAATTGACCAGGAATGTATGCTCTGGTAGTCTCACCCAAGAAGACAACAACAAGTTCCTCAGAGTTTGAGCCACCATTGTTGAACCACCATGAGACTGATCCAAGGGGTATTGGTATCACATCCCCTTTCTTAAGCTTAATCACCTCCTCCTCTGATGTGTTGGGGAATACCATTCCAACTAATCCATCATCACCTGCATCAATATGTCATTAATTAATCCTATAAATTTTCCAACATCTAGGTTTACAATTGGACACTGCGTATGTTTGTCTGACAATATAAGTTTGGTAAGCGAACAATATATATCCATATCGTAGCAAACATCATAAACAAAATTTTAAGGTCAATGAGGAAACAAATGTTTATGTTAGACCATTTTTAATCGGCCAAACAAAAATAAACACACACATACACACGATCTTCAAACTTCTACGAGAATCGAATAATTGATCAAGTTGATTATGATATGATAATATAAGTTTGGTAAGAGAACGGACAAAATATATCCACCGTAGTAAACAACATAAACAAAGCTTTTATATAACAAGGTCAATGATGAACAAAAAATTATTTAAAAAAATTACCTTGAAGAACATATCCCAGTTTGGCAGAATCAGCATAGTGAGGAAGACCAAAGCCACGAGGTTGAAGAACAAGCTTGCATGCACCAACCTTGGCCTCACCAAGAGCTGGAACATCTGAACTTGACCAAATGTAATATGTTCCACCATCTCCCTCAAACAACTTCTGGGCTTGCTTGGGTGTTAAGTCCATATTGGCTTCCACCTTCAGTTAGTTTCAAGAGACAGAGACAGAGATCAAGAAAACCTAAAGCCTACAAACAAAGCAATACAAATAAGATCTGATGAAGTTTATGGGTGAAGACAGAGGTGCAGGAGTTTCTCCATTATATATAGAGAAGAAGAGAAACATACTAAAACCCAAAAATAATCATAAATAAATACTCCATATTTGACGGATTATAGAGCACGTTATGAGAAAAAGAGATATAATTATGAGTAATACTAGAAGAGTACACTAATTTATTATACAAATTTTTGGACACAAACTGATGTGGTAGTGTTTTATTTGTTTTCGTCGTGAGCTGATTATGAATGTTATTTATTCATACCAAATAAAAAACTGCTAGATAAATTAATATCTAAAAATCGATGTCTCTAATATTATTGTATAATTGTTATTTATCTATATATATATAAAGCAAAAGGCAGAGAATGGTGAAACATTCAAAATACCAAAAAATGCCCTTAGTTAATGCAAATATTAAGAATTGAAATTATTAATTAAATGAGGATAATATGGTAAATTCACACTTTTTCATATTTAAAAAAATTAAAATTAAAAGAAAATCATATAATGGCCTATTTTTATGGAACACAACTACCCATTATCTTTTTTAATTTTAAAATAAATTTTAATTTAAAAAAAAAAAGCATCTCGCAGGCGCGAAAGCGCGTGCGGAGAGGCTAGTATATATAAAGCAAAAGGCAGAGAATGGTGGAACATTCAAAATACCAGAAAATGCCCTTAGTTAATGCAAATATTAAGAATTGAAATTATTAATTAAATTAGGATAA